GCGTGGAATGTAAAGAGAATTACATATTCACAGCGTTCGGTGCGCGTCTGCCAGGTATTGTGAAAATAATCGGAACTAATTATGCGATGCATTGGTGTGAAGAGGCGGTTTAGACCGCGTAAATGGAATACACGTCATGCAAGAGTATATTATAGTGAGTAACGGTCTTGCTGTGGTAGACATAAGTTAATTTATAAAAAGCAAGAAATAACTGAGGTTCTAAAGCTGGATGCAATCTTGGCAACCCTGGTCAATTCTGATGAGGAAAAACAACGACGATTTAAAAGCTGCTACAAGCAGCACTTTAAACAAGGATACCTTGCAAAAAGGTAATATAAAGTACGCTCGTTTTTGTTATGTCGTGGTTCATCGTAATTGTGACATGATACATGTATGCCCATTTGTAATCAGCCCGTGCTTGTTTTGCAACCACCGTCACCTCAGGTTAGGTTTCCGTTGCTCCATTACGAATCGTATGCATGTGTCGTGTAAATGTGGACTTTTTGTCTGGACGACCCAGGTCATGGTAATCATTTGCGGTAATCATCGACAGTGAATTAGTCAATGACACCACTGAAGAACATCAGTTCGCACAGCTGATACAATATATACCGCCCAACACCTTGTGAAGGCTCGCAACCCCGGCTTCCTTGGCTTGTCGACGCCAAATGTTTTGCGGCATGTGCAGCGCTGCACTTTCCCGCCACTCAGTATAGCATTCCCATTAGCCTGCTTATGCCGTGAAACTGTTAGCAAGGATGATCACCGACTGCTGCAGTTTTCAGCAACATACAAAAACCCTATTTGTCGCGCTCGCCACCAGACGCGTGCGCGCATGCGGCCGGCAGTACAGTGAAAGACAGAGGGATGCTGCTGGGCGGGAGCTGGATGACTCAAGACTACCATCCAATGCAAAGATTTGGGCCAAATTGCTCTGAAAGTACTTGGACATGATACAACTTACCCCACTCACCCTTATCCCTCGGAGCTCGGAAAGGGAGGGGGCCTTAATGATGTTATGGTAGTGAAGTCAAGCCAGCTAACGCTCACCATGTGCGGAATGTTCCTGCTGATGGCTTGGCTGGTCAGAGCGTCTGCCTTCCGTTCCACCCACCCGCGGCTGGGTGGGTTCGGGGCGGTTCAGACGCTAGGAATGTCCCTGCTGATGGCTTGGCTGGTTAGAGCGTCTGCCTTCCGCTCCACCCACCCGCGGCTGGGTGAGTTCGGGGCGGTTCAGACGCTAGTGTTTCGTCCTTAATACGTATGGCCTGCGGCCGGTGGCAGCAACCGCGCTGAAGGTCAGCTGACGTCAGAGGGCAGGACGGACGTGCCTGAGCCGTTGACCTGGAATGGAATGACAGGGTCACCTCATACACCAAGCACCGCTCAGCGTGAGATTTGGCCCCAGAAATCCATCCATTCAAAAGTTTTGGATTGAATTTTAATGTATGCTTGCGCCGCCCCGCGCACACTAGCTCAGTCTGGATCGAAGTGTTGCATAATCCTTCCTCTCGTCACGGCTGATTCAGAAAATAATAAAATGCTCGGTAGTCTTGCATCAAAGGCTCCCGAGCTATTAGCAGCCAACCGATGGAGCCATCCTTCACTGCATTTCATTAAATGAAAGATTCTTCCTTAGAACTACACTCAAGGCTAGCGCCAATCAAGATGCATTTTGATGCATTCACAACGCTTTTCAGCTACCACTCGTTCAAAGGAAGCTTCCCTTGAGAGGTCAGTAATCCTGATATCCAATAATACCTTACAAAATAATTTTGATAAAAAGTACGCCTCTCCCTTGAGCCGCGCATCGACAGAGGAAAGGTAACGTATGCGAAATATTCCCGGAGAAATTTGTTCAATGCTGTGCGTAGACGTTTGCAAAAGCATCTCGATTCGGGGTGTAGTTTGGGAAAATGGTTTGAAGGAGGAAGGGGAAATTAGTGAAAGTTGAGAAAACCTGTCTCCATATGCGTCAACTGACGGTTCATCTCCTGATTTGACTTATGTTCTCAAAGTGTGGGGGAGCCTCACATTCATTTGGGGTGCTGGAGCCCCAAATGAAAACAAAACTACACCCCTGTTGGAAGTCTTCTCCTGCGACGTAAGAAATGGAAAGGCATGACAGGTATGCTTTCAGACCTTCACATTGCCAGCCGTATGCTGCATACGCCTCATACGGCTCTACTGTGCTGGCCAGTAGATCAGTACTGCTGGCAACCATAGGCAGCTCTGCTGGTTCTTCTCGCAGCTGGTTTCTATTGGCGAGCTCTGCTGACTATATTTGAGGATTTTTGCTGCTTGTATGCGACCGGTCTACTGGCTGTGTTGGCGAGCTACATTGGCTGAATGAGATTGGCCTGCTGGCTGTGTTGGCGAGCTACATTGGCTGAGTGGGACAGGCCTGCTGGCTGTGTTGGCGAGCTTCATTGGCTGAGTGAGATTGGCCTATTGGCTGCGTCGGCCAGCTATATTGGCTGCGCCCGAGGCAGTTCTGTTCGCCGAGTTGGCAGCTTTTCACAGCCATGTTGGAGGTACCAGCCCGCATTCGTCGACTTCTTTGGACGCCGTGCGCAGTGCCGCTCTGCCTTCTACCCACGGCACGGTCGCCTCAGACGACGCCGTCCGATGGCGTCGTGAATGTCAACCGGTCTCTCGTCCTATGGTACCGGACGGCCGGCCCCCACATTCGGCTGTTTGCTAGCCATTCATTGCTGTGGTGCTGTGGAGCGGTCCCGGGTTCAGCGGGCGTGAGGGCAATCAGTTCCTCGGAATGTGTTCCAGATGCCGTCAAAGTCGGGCGGTGCGATGGGGCTCCTGTTTGGAGTGTTGTTTCGTAGAAAGAGGGAGTCAGGCGGAAACGGAGCCAGCCGGGATGCCTTAAGGTAGCACATTTCATGAGTGGCACATGCTGTGCGCCGTTCCCTGGTCGGCTGTCACATGGGCATGAACGGTCTACCTCCTTGCATTTGCTGTGGAATTTCAATGCTTGTATCTTAAAATAGATCCATCTAAGTATTTGCATGCACGATGAGAGAGTAAAATTTTATGCCAGATATCTGGTGTTTTCAGACGGTGTTCCTCTGACAAAGAAAGCTTAGCTTAATTTAACGCGCAGATATTTGAAATCATCCAATCCAGTGGTTATGCAAATATTCGTCGCTAATTCCTGCTGTCGTTAGCTTTCCTGAAGACTTTCGTCTCTGACGGCTCGTCTGCAATGAGCCCGCCGCCTTTTCCCGGAAGATCAATTTGTAGGTTAAACAACGTGTTCTACCAGGTACGAGGAACGCTTAATTCACATCATGTTCCTTTTGCAATGCAATATATTTTTTAGCTCTGTCTGAAACATTTGGAATGCGGCCTAGGAGAAAACAAAAAGAGTAAAATGATATGCAATTTTTCATTAATTTTGTGCTGCTGTGGCGATGGAGGACATTAGTCTGGCACTGGCATTGGTGTTATCGCGCACGCCGTTTATTCATACGGTGCAGCCGCACCACATCTTGTTAACTTGCGCGTTTCAGAATAAGGCCGGACGAGGCAATGTGCGATATGTAGTCCTGTGAGGGCTAGCAATGGTAACACACGTGTTCTACAGATGACACGAAGGCATGGCCCTCCCAAACAAAGCCGCCACTGGGCAAGGGCAGCCTGTGATCATGGGATGGGGATGAAATGGGTGGCTTTTTTAAATGATTAAATAAGCAAAGAACAGCCGTGACAATCTTGGAGATCCATCATTGATGTATGACCCAGCAAAGTTGCGCATCTACGGAATACAGAACATACAAAAGTTACCGATTTTTCACTGCTGAGTGAAGACAAACATTGGGTGACACGAAACAGCACAACATCTGCGATGCAGCTCTTGAGCGCTAGCGTTCCCGCCGGCTTAGCTAATAGCGTAAAGAAAGTGGTTTTCACCGGCCAGGGACAGGGACATATTATCTCCTCAGGAAGTGGGTGGGCCACTATGCTGTTTTAGCTTTTTTCACGTGCATTATGATGCGGCTAATTGAAGAAATCTCCAAACGGTAAGCTTGCCACGCCCCTCTCCTGTTCTGACGCCCACTGAAGAGGTGGCCGTCAGCCTGCTAAGCATTTGTGTCGATGGCCCTAGAACCTCAGGGAACTCCCACGTGGCAGCCCCCCAGCAGTCACTTGAAACAGCCCAGCGTCCTCCTGTCTCGTTTGGGAACCACTGCCGACCCCTCAGAGCACACAGTGGGGCGCAAGAGAGAGAGCCAAACTGTCAGTCATGCCGGATGACTGTCTTGGTTCCTTTCGCAAGTGAGTGCAGACCTGTACGGCGCTACCGTGTACGGCGACAGCCAAAATTGTTCATGTCGCGGACACGCGGGCGCGCGCGACTGCACGCCGCGGTGACTCCGCTCAGTGATGTCTGTTGACAGTCCAGGAGACATCTAATGGACTGTAATGTACTTATGGTGATCAGCATCGCTTTTACAAACAGCTGCAACAAATTAGAGCGGACTAATGCACACCACATAGCATGGGTCCACGTGGCGTCTTGCACGGGGGAGCTCCGCCCAGCCGGTCCTCATGTAGCGGATTGCTGGCGCCTGCGGCCATCCCGGACCTGTCGCCGGCGGCGGTCACGTGACCCGGACGCGACTCGAGCCCGGGGCTGTACGTAAGCGGGCCGAGTCTGACGTGCACAGACCCGGTGTGCGATTGCAAGGGCGACCCGATGGAAATGCAGCAGATGTTTGGACCGTAAAGCGGCTGGGACACCGCAGCCGCGCTCCACGTGGATCTGGGAGTGACAAAAAGAATAGCGGCGGTGGGATGTGGGCATGTGTCGTTGCAGGGATAACTGTCTAGCCTGTGTGGTATCCACGAAATCTTCCTTCGACCCTTAACTCCCTCTATCCCCAGCACGACTACATTCCACTCCCTTGAACGTCCGTGGCACTAAGCCGACCGCGGTCCGCTGACACCAATTCCGCTGACACTCCCCCTCCCCTTTCTGGCAGAATGAGATGGACAAACTCACGCGCTACCTGGAGTACCTGGTGACGCGCGGGCGGCCGCTGGGCGACCCCGCTGCCGTGGCACAGCTGGAGGCGATGCTGGCCGCCGGGCGCGGTCACGCCGCCCATGTCGACCGCGCGCTGCAGGACGGTCTGGGCATGGTGGCGCCGCCCAGCGTGGACAGCATGCTGACTCGCGTGACTGGCTGCCTGGTGACGGCCGTGGTGGGCGAGTGCGCCGAGCCGGCCGGCGTTCGCGAGGCCCAGGTGCAGACATGCGCCGTCGGCCGACGCTGTAAGCGGCACTCGGCCACCCAGACAGTGCGCACCATGGCCTGCGCCTGAGCCGAGCAGCCCTAGCCCTAGCGCCAGCTCCGACACAGACTCAGAAGCCAGCACCAGCGCCGGCGCGCACCAGCCGGCGGCGCGGGACTCGGCCGGCGGGTGTGAGTGTAGCCAGCGGGCGGCGACGGCGGGCTGGCCGGCCGGCGCGGTGCGAGCCGGTCACCGCCGCCGCCGCCTCCGCCGCCGCCGCCGACTGCGCACCTTGAGGGCCATACGTCTCAGTGATTGCGCGCGCTTCACCGAGGCCGTCACTGTGTGAACGGAGCAACGGGCGGAGAGGGAGGAGGAGCTGCGGGGGAAGCAGACTGCTGTGGGAGGGTGGGACGCGTTGGTAGCCTGGGAGAGTCTCTGAGTGTCGGTTCTGGGGCTGGCACACTTTTCGAGAAATTGGAACGTCCAGGACTGAGTTGCGCTCCAGGAAGAGCAACTCGATTTGACTGTGAGAGTGCGATGATGCGATTTTGGCTGGGAGTGGTGCGGTGGTATGGTTTGGGAATGGTATTTATCCGAAGGGTACTGCAGGAATGACATGATACAGGAGCTTTGTTCTGGTGTTAAGACGACAGCAGCAATTTAGTGAGAGTGCGGCAATGGTGCAAGAATAATGTGTTGGTGACAACAGCGTGAGAAGATATTGGGATCACGTTATAAAAATGTTGTGGGATGCTTGCCGGTGATATTGCTTTCTTTGGGCCTCTGTGTTTTAACTTCATCTGACAACAGTCCTTTCCAGGCATCAGGCCTGACACGACTAAGTCATCCATCGGTTTTTTTTTGTCGGGGACCACTTCTTACGATGTGTTTTACATTGTTCTGAGATCGACAATATTTCTACTATTTCGCATGTCCATGTTGATGAAGTATTACATCACAACGTTTTGAGAGTTGAAGGGAAGTTCAAAAGCCAAAAGCAGTAACAATCAGTGAGTTGGCGTGTTCGTTTATGTCGCGTTAATAGCGATTCGTTAGCTCACATAAAATTATTGTCACGCTACGGTGTTTGAGCTGTGTTGGTGGGCGTTAGCATGGCGACTATCAGAATATCAGCCTCACGAGGAAAAACTGTCGCCAGAGACGGTGCGGGGCTCCTCACTGTGACAGCTCTGAGCTCTGAGCGCGATGCTCAGGCGGTGACAGCTCTGTAACAGTGCGTTCAAGTCTTTGGTGATGGTGCTGAGGCGGCGCCCCAGCTCGCGGATGCTTACGGCACACGCGACTGGGCCGCTGCTCGATTGATGCCAAATCAGTGTCGCGGTGCCACATAACGCCGTTTTTTCGATGGAAAGCGTCAATAAATGTGTCATGATCACTACGTTGTTACGCTTGATCTGTCAGTGGAATATTCCGAATGCGGACAACCGTTTATCGAGACAAAAATGGCAGTAAATTTGCGTATGACGTAGCCTGGCTTCGCAATTCATCTCGACACTGTGCGGCGAATCCATATTTATCGCACCCATATGACTGAGAAAAGTAGTGCTGGCCCAAAAATCGAGCCGATGAGACGCCGCATTTCGTAAAACAAATACAATTCCCTGAGCTTACGTAACCAGTTATTAGTTCGATCCGACCTATGAAGCGAGCAACGAGTGTTTCTGTATGAATCCTGTGTCACCAGACCAGAGCGAATAATTGTTTGGGCTCTGTTGGCATTTTTAGTGACTGACCTGTACTGCGGAATTTCAGGTTTATTTTGCTGTCCGTCGTGCCCGGTGTTTTGCATTGCCCTGCTAAATTTCCGCCCAGCGGAGAGTTATTTGTGGCCTTTGCTGCTTATGTTAATGCATCATCTGCACAATGCTTTCAGAACTTCTAATTTATGGACACTTATGCTTTGTTTTCAAAGATATTTGCATGTGCGAACTGCAGCAAAATATCTGAGACACTTGGCTGCCTTCCCGTAAGTTCAGTTTGATTTACTGGCTCTCTATAATTTTCATTTCAACTATCTGAGTTTTTAATGAAAGGCCATCTATTTTTTCATTTCTTCTACGCAATCAACATTATCCATTCTGAGCTCTTTATTGAAAATGAACGTTATTTATGGTAAGTGCCTAGTTGATACGTTTGGTATGCTCTGAATGTCTCTGTGTGGTCATCAAGACGTAGCATACGATCGTGGTTATCTGTCCCTGACGGAATGACTTCTGCATAATTAATCGACCCCAGCTCAATTAAAAACGAGCGTAATTATTTCGCTCACAAATTCAGGGTCATTTCAAATCGCAACAACATTACTTCTGTTTAATGAATTGATCTATGTTTCACACTGAATGCTACCAATTATTCTAGAAAATCCAGCGTCATTTGATAAACAACACTATGACCAACTCTGCAAAAAGGTGTTGGATCCTATGAGGGAAATTGTAATATCACGAGATGGTACGTAAATCGGCCCAAGGCTGTAATCAATCTTGCGACCACGCAATTGTGTAAAGCAAAAATGTACCAGGAATTTATCTCCAGTAAATTCGTGATACACTAGGCACCCGAAGATACCACTATTGGTTTCATGCCGATTGTGTACCACATAGTATTTTGAGCGTATCTTGTACCTTTGACATTTCATCTCTGTTATATGTTTCCCGTCTGTAAGTCTGCAAATTCTGCATATATCGGCAGGTTTTTCATAACATTCCAACTGGATCCGGACCAACAAATTGGACTGCAGTGTGCGGTAGCTTTTAAGTGCGTGTTGGCTGTTCTTAAGCATTAAGGTGTAAGGATTTATGAGAGCTGGGTAATTACTTACACCAACGTCATACTTTGAGAGCATTGCATGAACATTGCGAGGATTCCAGTAATTTAGGGTTGCAGTTTCTGTCAACGAGTGTGTGCTACTATGATAAGGGCTGCCTGAAACACACCCGGATAAACAGAGAGCTCTCGACGACACGTACCGAGCAAAGCATATAACGAGACTTGCCAGCGGATCCCAGTGTTCGGCACGACTATAAAACTCTTCCCAAACGTCTATCACTAAACGACGTGGTTCAGAAAGCATGTTAAATTGTTCAAAAGGTCAATTTGCACCAGTCCACGCTACCCTAAGGCTGTGTGAGCCGCTCAATGGTGCTGGCACGATCGTACGATTGTGCATTGTTTGCACAGGCTGCAATCGACGAACGGGAGTTTCAGAAACAGAGAGCTTGTTTGTTTCACCTGTGTACGACATCATCACGAACTGGGCGTTTTGTTGTGCAGAGGCGTACACAGCGGTGTAGTTTCCTCATCAGTTGGGGTTGCAGCCCCCTTCCCCTGTTCCTCCCCCTCCCCTACCCACCCAGCTTGGATCGGAAAGTGAGGCAAATCCCGGGATTAACACGTTTCTTGGCTATTTTGGAGGTGGGTTATGTTACCTTTCATTGAGCATACCCACAAATCATTTTGCGAAACTACACCCCTGGGCGTACGCGTTATTTCACGGTTGAGGGAGGGGCATAGCTAAAAAACGGGTTAAGCACGCCACAGGCGTCCGCTATGTCCTGTGTGTCGCAATACAGCATGGCATGTGCTCGATCTTATGATCTAGAGGAAAATGAAACTCCAGGTCCAGAGCTTTTAGTTGTCAACATTTATTCGCGCGTACATTAATGCAATATAATATAATGCAATAAGGGAGCGGGGGCTTGCTTAGTGCGTACCCACCTGCTTTTAAACCGAAAACGTGCTGTACAAGAGCCGAACCTTACTCGGTGCTACAGGCATCCGCTCTTGTGAAAAAGAAGGATAATTTAGCACGACTAAGATCACATGACTGGGGATCAGAAGATGTGCGCCCCTATTTCTGTATTTATGGTATAATGATCGCTTTCTTAGCAGCCATGGATGTGTGCTGAATTTTCATCCAGCACGATGGCGGCTATGGCTTTAACACGCGCCCGGTTGGCCGGTTAAATGCGATGCCTCTCGGGTGGGGGTCAATTTAACCCCGCTGATATTTCAAAAACAAAAAGAGTTGGAGGCACTGTGTTCGCAAAACGGAAAGGCCAGTACATGAAGTCACTTGTGCCAAATTTTGAGATCCTTAGATCATGGCCTCGGGTCAAATAGCGTCAAAAAAGTTAAAACTTCAGATCGGTGTGCGAAGTCCCCTCATACCTCATAATCCAATTACTCCGCTGACATGGATGCCTGTACTAAGTGAGAGTTCACTGATGTTCGTTCCATGTCAGTGACCTTATTTGAACAAGCCAAAGTCTTTATTTCAATGGCAGCATTGACCTACACCTGACCTTGATACCTGCCCGACGGTCAATGTGATAAGTCGTGATCCTAAAATCACTTGTCAAATTGCCTCAGAAACCGTCTCCAAGATAGGTGGCTTCATGTAACACTTCATTGTCGCATCAGATTGAACGATTCCCTACGAATCGCCTTCGCTGACGACCATGATGTGAATTTTGGCCTACCATAGGTCAGCGACCTTATTAGGTTAATTTGTTCCTTTAATGCAGAAATACTGGTTATTTAATTGACTAAACATATTTGAATTTTGGCGTGGCTACACCCAGTCGTTTGGAAGCTTTTTAGAACAATCCTTCGGGTTAAAATTTACCCCTAGTCAAATTTACCCCCACCCGAGCGCGTGATATATGAAGCATAGTTCGGGGGTATACCCTGCATTTAGTTGCATCACAAAGGGGGTGTCTTGCAAGGGAATCGACACATTTTGCGCGGTGTGTTCCAGAGTGAAAGACATGTTGGTGTGGTGCTTAATGATTTGTGCAAAGAAACCTGATCATGGTCACAGTCTTGAAACATCAACTTTTCTTTTCATAACTGTTGTTTACTTTATAATGTAATTCTGTGTCACGTCTCGCCAGTTATGTGCGCGACACGAAACAGCACAGTGCACCCGTAGGCAATCTAGCAGTATAAATATATAGCGTTTAGATTCAGGCAGCGTGGGAAGCCTCATCGAACGGATATCGGACTGATGCCACACACGCTAACCACTAGGCCAATTTTCGAAGCCTTGATCACGTGCTATTCATAAACAAAATTGTCCAGTCATTTACGGATCTCGCTAT